CATCAGAAAAGCAGCAACCAGTATCGCTTTCAGCACAAGCTCAGGAAGTAGATCCTGTTACCTTTTAAATGCAAGTGTTCAGGTTCTGTTTAGGGTTGGTTAGTTAGTTAGTTAGTTAGAACAGAGCAGCAGCCTTGTCTCAAGTACTGTTAGCTTTGCTTGGGTTAGCTAGTGACTTATTTTAAGGTTGTTCTTCCCCAAATAGCTCTTTAGCTTATTCCGTCCCTGCTGTCTGATCCCTGGCCTGGGAACACCAGGAGGACATGGGTGGAGATAAGGATGCCCTATAGTTACTGGGTTACCTCTCTTAACCTGCTACCACTGTGGCCCAGTCCTGGTATTTTCAGAAACACAACTTCTTGTATGTCTCACTGGCTTTAGTCAATAAGGCGTGAGGGGCAAGTTAATGTTTCTAGCACATAACCTGAATAACCCACACATATTGTTTTCGGGCTAACACCACTGACAAGGTTTAGAGCTTTGGACTGATAACAGTGTTAAGCTGAAACACGCACATACACACACAATGCTTCCTTTCCTCATCTAGTAATTGGACGTGAGAAATAATTTCATTATCCTCAGGAAAAGTAATCTGCTCTTTACTCCTGATCCATTCATTTCCTACAATCCACCTCCATCTGGGAGGCACACACACACACACAAACAAGGACCACATACATATCACACATGCATGTACGCACACAAAAACACCCACCCACACACACACACACACACACACAGCTCCTATCACCCTGGGCTATTAATGTTATTGGAGTTTGGGATTAACCAGCAGATTCACATATGCTTTACAAAGCTGTATTTCTTCGTGCTGTCTGTCTTGCTGTCTCTGTGTTCACACACAGGCACCTATAACTTGCTGTGAAAGAAAGTTAATCTGAGAATGAGGGCACTAGTTAGTGGACTGAAAGAGGTCCTCAGTAGACAGTGTATGAAAACACAAAGCCATGCCACATTTAGCCCTTTACATTACTCTCACTGGACTAAACTCTTGAGCACAATTGGATCTATTACAATATTGTATTGGTATTATAGTCAGAGATACCTTGGAGCATCCTGGTTTAAAACATACAGTTGTGTAATCCCTCAAGGGATGTGTTGGCACTTTCGAAAGGACACACTGAAACTTTCCTCTTCCACTTCGAGATGTTTCCCCGAAAGGACACTGACACTTTCCTCTTCCACTTCGAGATGTTTCGGGTGGCCCTTAATGCCAAGCATCATGGCGTCACATATCTGTGTGCGTAGAAGGGGAAGAGGCCAAAGTGTCATTTCACTGGGCAAAGGTTTGTGTTGGGACACCATTACATTTCATGTGAACACACAATCAAAAGGGGAGGGCTGTATATACCTTTGTTCCCGTCTGGAATATAGGCAGCAAATATCCACATATCCATACTACTGTATGTACCAGCAGTTTCAATTCAATACCAAATTCCACTTAATGACAGGACTTCACAACAGTATCTAAAATCTGTAGCACTATATACTGTTTTGAAAAAGATAATATCTGTTTTATGTCAGTACATGATATTTCTTGGCTGGCTTGCTTTTTGTAAGTGCATGTGGATTAATAGCAGTGCGCCTAGTTAAAAATTCTGAACTGAACTTTGGGTTCATCTTTTGGTTGTTAGATTCCCAGTGTTGCTAGTTTAATAGATGCGGTTCATTGTCCAGCTTTAGTGTCTTTAAAGAATAAGGCTGGTGATGATTTATGTTGTCCTTGATGTCACCAAGTCCTTTGCAAAGATCAACACCTACAATGAACCATTGCACTGAGAGACATTTTACAGTACAGTCTTCGAGGAGTGCGCCATTTACTCCTTTATGAGTGGTGTATGTTGAAACTTGCCCAGCTGCTTTAGAAAATGATTTGACCCATTTTTAGAGCTTTAGGTTTTCAGTACAAATGAATAAGCTTGGGGCTTTGAGCCACAGGCAAGGTAGGGAAATCAGAACATACCGAGAGAAGGACTGAAGCATTGCTGGGTTTTAACTTTTAGTGGGGATTTATTGGCAATGAAAAAATAGAACAATGCCAGTCTTATCCTTTAAAGACACTGAGACTATAAAGAATCCAAATTCACGAAATATCAGATAAACGAAAAAACACATATGCACAACAACAACAAACAACACAACGCGAGACTGCTCTACAGTGTCACACTGGTCGATGTGCCACTTGACAGTAGAAAGTTTTCTGCACTGGGTGACAAGTTTCAGACTGAAGGCAAATAACATGAAATTTAAAATGTCACTGTTTTTTTTTTTTAACCGTTATATGTCTTGACACTCTCTAAGCACAGACTGAAGCTACTCTGACTGTTATTGTATTTAAGTGTGTGTATGTGTGTGTGTTTTCTGTCAAGACGTAGAAATGTTTTTTTTTTTCTAATGGGAAAAAGGAATAGTTGGACATTTTATCAATAGGCATTATTAAATCCTGCTTGCTTGGGCTAATCTTGGCGGACCGGAGCGAGAAGAAAGAGAGAGAGTGAGCGAGAGAGATAGACCCAAGGAGGGAGAGGGAGAGAGCAGTGATGTCTGCCCCATGAGGTGAAGAGAGACCGCCTGTAAGCCGCTTATTATATGGACTACCACCTTTTCTCTCTCCTCCTCCAACACACCCTCCCTCCTCTCTCGTAACCTTGCTCATTTTCTGTCTCCCTCCCATGCTTGCTTTCTGCAGCTCATTCTGTATTGCCTCATTCTCTTTTCTCAAAAGCTCCTTCGTATAAACACACACATAAAAACACAGATGCATTCACACACAAACACACAGGCGCCGCCTGGCCGAACCTTCTTGTTCAAAGCCAGAAGCAAAAAGCTGAAGTTTTATTCAAATGAAAATGTTTACTTCTTCTCCTGCCAAGATGTGTGTGTTTGTCTGTGGGTGCATTTAAGCGCACGTGTGTGTGTGTGTGTGTGTGTGTGTGTGTGTGTGTGGTGAGAGAAAGGGAAAACAGCACCAAGCATGCAAGTGTGTGTATGTGTTACATGCACGGCAGAAGGAGAAGGGCTGACAGTAGGTGATAAGCCAGACAGGCCTGCACGCTGTGATTATCACCCACCGGACCCTCTGTCACACATGCACACACACACTTGCATACACAGTGCCTAGTGAGAGAGTGTTTTGGAAGGATTTAGGACAGACAGACTGACAAACAGACAGAGAAGCCTTAGATCACAGGCAAAATGGAAACCACAGGCAAATGAACACAGACTGGAAAACACAATGCATCCAATTATGATTCAATGATCAATTCAGTGTTTCTTATTTGGGCTTAATATCAATATTAATGTGTCGTGATGTGTACACACTGGGATCAAAGTACCTTGCCACAGTAGAGATGACACTAAAGATAAATGCTTGCAAATAAAGATCTGTTGCTGAGATGTGGAGAAGTGACTGACTTTGTCTTGGTCTCTCTCTGACGTAGGTGTGTGGCCATCTGAAGAGGTGATGGCTCATTACTGTCTGCAGAAACGTCACATGTTCACGTGAGTTTTCCCCTTTTTTTAAACCTGCTTATTCAGTCATCAAGACGACTGTTTCACCAAGAAAACAAGGACTAATAGCTGTGATTCATTACATAGATCAGGATCCAAATTTTATTTAAACTTTTGTCAGTTTAACAAATTGGGGACATTATTATCTCATTTGGATGTAAGGACTTTTTCATTTTTTGTGAAGGTTTTGCACCAATTTTACATTTACTTCTTAAATATTGAAACATTTTTGTCATTGTAAACAGATAATACATTAACAAATATGTTTGGCCTTATTTCAGCCATGTTTTATTTAGAATGAAATCGGCTTCATGATAAAAAGCCAGAAGGGGGCTTCTGGGTTTTCTGTCTGTACAAACTTCCTGAAAGAATTTGCTTTGTTGCGATGATAGACTGTGAAACTACAGTACTGTGGAGAATAGCTGGAAAACTCATTGTGAAAATGTTTCTCTTCATCAGTAAAATTAAAGAGAAAAGTGAAAATGTAATTTACCATCAGGGAGGTGGAGGTAACGTTTCCACCCTTGGAAACACTAACGAGCAGCTGCTGTGAGATCAAGATGTCCCATTAGCATTTTATCAAATAGGCTGTAATTACACCAAACTTCGTCTTTGATTCTGTTAATCTACTATGCCGTCACAGTATCCGGTTTATACATTTAGTTATCAGAACACGTGTCTACTCTGTCCCTTCTTATTTTAATCTGCCTTGGTCCTGCAGTAAATGCTCGCCGCTCGTGTCACTCTGTGCCTTTCGATGCCACGCTTTGTTGTTCTCTGCTGCTCTTTCCCCTGCTCTCGTCTGCTGAGCACTGGCCTGCCCTGTGGCACAGGGCTGAAAAGCACCCATGCACCTTTGATTTCCACTCAAGGTGGAACGTCACCCTTTGATTTCCTGTTTTAACATTCAAGAGGCGGGAGGCGAGGAAGAGAGGGGTATTGATCAGAGCAGTGTAGTGAAGGTCAGCAAGAGAGGGAGGGAGGTGGGGGGGATGAAAGAGGACAGGGGAAAAGGAGATGAAAGGAGAAAGAGGATGGAGAGAGGGGTTGAATGAGCATGCAAGCTACAAGTGTGTGTGTGTGTGTGTG